TCTAAACTGATAGGATTCAGTTTATGCTTTTATGATATTGAGTTAGGGGTTTATAAAAGAGAAAAAAAGAAGAGAAAGGAGGAGAAGGAGCAAGAATCGTCAAGTTCTTCAAGAATCGCTTGTGGATTTCGTCAAAGGGTGATCCCTATGAGGTATGTGAGGTCACACAACATTGGGTTCGTTCACCCACGCGCCAAACATTTTTAATTTAGCATGAATTCGTCCTAAAAGTTGAAAGTTTAAATGTTCTTTATGTGTGTTCTTGAATTTGGGATGAGATTGAGGAGTTCTTGAGAGTTTAAGGTCGATTTTAGAGTTGTGTTTGATTAGATTCTTGTGTACATATGTTGGGTATATGAATTTAAAGGGATTTGGAGAAAAAGAATTGAATTTAGGCGAATTGGGGCAGGAAAATGAATAAGGAACAAGTCGGGCAAATCTGGGTACCAGGTCCGCGTCACGGACCTGTTCCTCAAATTGGAAAATTCTCCCTCGTGTCGCGTCGTGGTCACGGACCGTTCTACCTCAAAAATTATTTTCGCGACCAAAAATCTAAATACATCTCCACGTCGCGGACCAGCTTTTAGACGATGATTTCTTGATCTTTTCTCGTGTTTAATTATCTAAAAACACTCCTAAACATCATGAGATCTTTCTTATCACAAATCACAATCCTTGAATCCATAATTCAATTCAAGGATCAGTTAAGAGTCAAGTCAAGAGAAGTTAAGAGTCAAGTTAAGAGAAGTTAAGAGTCAAGTCAAGAGAAGTTCATAGAATCTTCTAAGAGTCTTTTACAAATGTTTTAACTTTGTTTTAAGACTTGAGTTTTGAGTTGAGTAAAGAGTAAAGTAAGTTCATTTCTTCAAAAGGGTATATTGGGACAATGTATTCCCAAAGAGTAAAATGTTTTCACATTTAAAGAAGAAAGGAAACCTTTATTTCCAAAAGACCCCTTGAGCTAGTTTTTCAGTAAAGAGCCTTTGAGCTAGTTTTTCAGTAAAGAGAGTTTGAGGTAGTTTTTTTAGTTAAAGAGTAAATGCTTTTATAATTACGCAAGAGAGGAAACTTTGATTTCCAAGAAGAGCATTTGAGCAATATTCTCAAATCACAGAAAGAAGTATGTTTTTTTAAAATATAAGAGCTAGTATCATATTTTGAGAGCAGTATTGAGCACCGATATGGAGGAGAGTTCAGACAACTCACAACGCCCATAAACCATGTAGCCACCATGGGTAGAAAAGGGTCATACTTTTTAGATGATTCCTTAGTGTTTTTTAGCATAGACTAGTGGATCCACTTAGTAGTTCAGGTTCTATACCCCTGACAAGGTATAGGACAGCCCTGGCAGCGTGAGGCAAAACGTTGTATCATCACGATAGCTCTTAAGTGATGGTTGTCGGTTAGAGAAACTCCCACAACAGTATTTTGTATTTTTATATACATCAGAAATATTTGTATTTTCATATACAAACAGAGTTCATATTGTATCTTTGCATACATACAGAGTTATTATTGTATTTCTAAATAAACAGAGTTGAAAACCATGTTTTAAAGCTTTCTTTATACTACATTTATTTACATTGCTTTATATTGGAATTAGTTGAGTTGAGTTGAGCCAAGTAAGTTCTTCAGTTCCTTTCAAGCTTATATCTTGTTTTAGAATTCCCCTCGCATACTCGTACATTAAATGTAATGATGTCATTTGGCCTGCATCTTCTTATGATGCAGACACAGGTAACCAGGATCAGCATCCAGCGTATCGTTGATTCTAGTGAGCTCTAGAGTTTGTTGGTGAGCCTCCTTGCTTCCGGAGGATCCCTTTTATTGCTTTCAGTTTTATTATTAGTTGATTAGGATGTCGTGGGTCCTGTCCCGATGTTTCACCCCAGTATACACGCAAGTGTACGTAGTAGCACAAGTAATATAGATTCTTTAATAAACGAGTTATCGTTCCTAAGGGACTTATGATCAATTTATATTTAACACTTAATTCTACAGATAAAAGTAAAAGTAACCTTTTCAAGAGTTGATAATTGATTGTTAACTACTACTAATTATGAACTAAGTAAACATAACTTAATGTAAACGACTTTAAGATGATGTTTCAAGGAAGTAAAGGACAATTCCAAGGCTGCAGCATGCAATGTATCTCATGTATCATATTATTGTCTTAGAACTACTTTTTAGTCGTCAAGTTACTGGTTTACTTGGTAAATTATATGAGTCGGGTTCACACCTCTAGTCGCCTACTCCAGTTAGCTATCTAACTACATCGTTGAATGGGGATAAATAGACTAACTGGCGAGCATTTATATTTCTTCTTGTTTCGTAACCAAGCGAATTGTTCGTCCGGGCATCACTCCTGAACACAAATCACCTCAACTTAATATGTCGATCAAGCTCTCTATATTCTCTAGTTTATCTAACCTCTCCTCTCCCGATTCAAGTTTAGACGATATATTTATCTTATGGTGCGCAAGCATAAAATACTAAAATAAGAATATAGAAGTAACTTATAATGACAACCAAGAATTAATTCAACAAGCCTTTAATAATCAACAATCCATTCGTAGTTGCAGCCCCAACACAAGAGAGTTTAGTCACTCATGCTATTAGAAAACCACAAAATACAATTGTTCATGCGATTTTCGGAAAATAGAAGAGTTAAAAGATCAAAACCTATTACAAGCGTGAATACTTGCTCTTGCACACCCAATAAAAGTCGAACGCTAATTATGGAGCCCTAAAGGTCTATTTATAATGGTAGGAAAATTAGAGCCAAAGTCTATTACAATTAGGAATCCTCTTTTAGCACTTTTAAGCTGGAAAAGTCATGATCCCACTGGCGTGTTGCGCCCAAACTTCACCTCTGAGGTTTCCCTCCTGGCGCGTTGCGCCTCTCAGAGCGCCTGAGAAAGGCCCTAGAATGTTGGGCCTTGGCACGTCGCGCCTCTCAGAGCGCCTGAGAAGCCTCTCTGAATATTGGCCCTTGGCACCTCGCGCCTAGCAGTGTGCCTGGCCCTAGGGCCTTCAGCCTTAGCTTCTTTTCAGCATATCCTTGCATCTTTTTTTTCAATCTGACTCCAATCTCCTTGAGAGTTCCTGAAACCTCTAATCATGTATTTTAGTGCATAATATCACAAGTATAATGAAATCAAGCTAATAGACTCAAGATCATTCGTTACTTCAATCAATTCATACGCAAATATTGACAACTTAGGCACATAAATACGCCTAAGATCACCACCCCACACTTAGACTTTTCTTTGTCCTCAAACAATCTTTAGACTATCAACTCTTTTTCACAAACCTTGGACTTATCAACCAACCTTAAAATCAACCAAACATTTTTAATCATGATATTGTAGTTCACAATGGATGGAGCATTTCACAACATTTACACCAAGTTACAACACATGCTCAAAGAATGACTCTTTTATTATTATTCCGGGCTAATGCAAACTCATACAAACACATCAATTAGATAATCTTACACATGCCATGAATGCCCTCACTTGTTCTTGTTTACTAAAGCCTTTCACTCAAGCAATTTGCAATATCAACAAGGCTTATTTTTCAAACAATCAACTCACCCTCACAAAAGAAGTTCTTACTTTTCTCAACTTACCATAAACTTGCCAATAGTGTATTATTACTTTCGCATTATATTTCTCAAGGAATCAAGAGAACTTTCATTTGGTTGTAATGTTGGCTTAAGGTAAGGGGGGGAATATTTAGGAATCATTTTAGTGACTACACCTCCCTAATGCACATGTCATTATTTTGCCAACAATCTCCTTTATAGCTTTTCTTTCTCCTAGTACACACTTTATGACTATTTACCCCTTTTTGTTGCTCCATCTTTGCCCTTAATTAATTTATTTTTAAAAAAAAAAAAAGTTTCATGCCTTTACACTAGCCACCCTCACTCTAGATTTTAAGGTCCGAGTAAAGTACACATTATCCTTGGTAGGATCAGGGCCAATGTATAAAGCATATTTCTGAAATAGCCACCCTCAATTGAGTTGAGGTGCACATTGTCACTAAGGACCAGAGCCAAAACAAAGTTCTTACTTACCCTTTTCTTTTCCACACAATTTAGCATTTCACCCTTTCTTTAATCAACCAACAATTTTCAACCCTTCTTCTTAACATAGTGCATTAAGGATTTTATTAAGATCAAAAGAACTTGGTATCGAACAAATGGATTTCGACTTATCATGTGGCTTATCAACAAACAAGGCTAAAGAGTAAATGGGGCTTCACTAGGTATAATTTCAATGGTCGGCATACAAGTAGAGTCAAGAATTGGTTAATTCAAAGAAACGCCTCCATCACATTCCCTAAATCATACAAGATACTAATTCAACACACACAAGGCAAGTTCTAGATATCAAGTTAAGCAAGAACCAATCAACACTCACCACACATGGCATCATGACACATATAAGGATATATCAACTAACATGCTCCTACAACTTGCATTACGGTATCATTACACAATTAAGCCCATTTATTTTTTTATTTTGAGTCAAAACTAAGAACACATGCTTGTTACAAGGTTAACACTCTATTGCACTTTTCCACTTGTGACTACCCATGATGTTTGGCTAACTTTTTCGGACATAGTTTCAAAAGACCAAGGTTGGTTTCTCAATCCAACTCTTTTATGTGACTAATTTTCCCTTAAGACGGTCGTCATCCATCCATCATTGGGAACTGTCACTCCTATGACAACTCTAAGACTCAATAAAGCAATAAACTAGTCTTAGTCGGTTCAAAGGGACAATCCTCAGTAAAAGTACCGAAAACAAACGCTGAGGAACCCAAAATTAAAAAATAAAAAATTTAACTAAAAACTAACACTAGACTCGATAAAGCAGTAAACATCTATATACAACAGAGACATATTACCCCACCCCACACTTTAATAATAAGCACTGTCTTCAGTGCACAATTAAATCAAAGTATAGAGTTAGGAATACTCCCTCGGGCCTCTAGGCCTTGTCGTCACCGCGATCAAACACCATCAAGGCTGTCGCCTTATCATCCACAACATCCTCCTCCTCATCATCCATAGCCTCGTCAGCACTAGCCTCATCATCATCCATAGGCTCTAAGAATGCTGGACTAGTCTTGCATAAGAACGCTACACTCTCGATCAAGGGGTAACGCTCCCCCATGGTCTCCATCTCATCATCTATAACCAGATAGCCACCTATCTGCAACTGCAACTCTACCATACTGAACATTCTTGCCATGACATTGTCATCACAGGCTTGCCTCTCTTGGGCAGACAAGATAGGTCCATGGGACGTGTCTAGTGCCTTTGTTCGAGTCATATCAATTAACTTACCCACCATATTCGGGTGAAAAGCAATAGTCAGGTCCACAGCCTCTTCATCAATACCTTGGGCCCTCAGAAAACGGGTTATCAAACCCCCATAGCAAAACCTCTGCCTCATATTATTCCTAAATTTCATCATATTTTGTCTAAGAATTTCCCCTACATTAATGGGCATCCTCTTCATCAGCATATAAACCAACACCACCCTATCCCTTGTTACCTCTGTAAGATGTTTCGCGGGTAGTAGCACACTACACACTATCTTTACCCATACCCTAGAAACTTGATTGAAATTAGCAAAATTGAGGATATTATGCCTCCAGTATCCTTGCTACGCTCCCACCTAGCCGTGGACTCTACCCCACAGAAAGTATGTTGGATATCCCTATAAGGAGGTTTATCCTTCAATGTATTAAAGTCATCAGAATCACAATTCGGGGTCGCCAAAAATTCATTTAGTATCGTAGCATTGAACTTCACATCCTTACCTCTAATAGGAAATTTTTTATACTTAGTTTCAGTGAGCCAATTGAGCATATAACTCACGAACTAAAGATAAATTACAATCTCCCGGATGATTAAAAATAAATCTCAGCCCCAACACAAGCACAGTCCGATAAATAATAGGAAATTGAGACTGCAACCTTACCTCATGGATGTACTCGTCGCCCATATACTTAGGTTCGCGCTGACACTCAAACCATTCCCAGCCATACCGCTCCACCACCTTTTTCCCAAATTTTCGAACAGGTTCCCGATTGCCAAACCCGAATGCTTCACTCTTCCTACTCTGCTTAGAACCAGCCACATTCTTTGCTTTTGGAGCCTTTGTAACCTGTTAAGAAGAGAAAAACTTAGAAAAGAAAAAAAAACTTAGAAAAATTATGAGGGGGGTCATTCGGGCAGTGGGTGAAGAGAAGACGGAGAAAGAGTTGGGAGGAATAGAGAAGTGGAGAGAGATGGCTATTTATGGGGGATTATGGAAGAGTGGGAGTTTCAGGGATTTAAGGGGAGTGGGTCGGACCGGGCTTGGCTTCAGTGATTTTTCTGGGTTGAGGCACGATGGAGGGGTGACGTGCCCCAAAGTCCTCGCTGAATCTTTATGCCAGTGCGCCTGGCTTCAATTTTTTTTTTTACAATTACAAGCTAAGTTACAAATAATGAAAAATCCCATCTAGGTAAAACTAATGGTTAAAAGTAATTCCTAGATTCTAAGAATTGAAACTACTTTAAAACAAAAATTTAAAATTCCAAAACGACTACCTATCTATTACATATTGTTCATGGGTTGCCTCCCATGTATCGCTTGATTTAACGTTGCGGCACGACACATCTTGGATCATTCATCACTTAGCTCAAGATCCTCCCTATCACGATCCGAATCTACGCCAAATTAGTGTTTCACACTTTGCCCATTTACCAAGAACGTAGGGCCAGTCTCATGTTTAAGTTCAACAACCCCATGTTGTGTCATTCTCACCACTTCGAAAGGACCAGTCCATTTAGATTTAAGTTTTCTAGGGAATAACCTCAAGCTAGAGTTAAAGAGAAGTACATTTTCTCCCGGAGTGAAAGTTCGAGCAAATATGTGCTTGTCATGCCACCTCTTCGTCTTTTCTTTGTAAAGCTTGGCATTGTCATACGCGTGGAGCCTAAAATCCTCAAGTTCATGCAACTGATTCACTCTCTTTTTATCGATTAGCTCGGGGTCCAAATTCAACCTCTTGATTGTCCAATAAGCTTGATGTTCTAATTCTGCCGGAAGATGACATGTTTTACCAAATACTATGTGATAGGGAGAAGTCCCTATTGGTATCTTATACGCAGTCCTATATGCCCACAACACATCATCTAATTTTTCAGACTAATCTTTCCTCTGTGCATTCACCATTTTCTGCAAAGTTTGCTTCACCTACCTATTCGAAACCTCCACTTGGCCACTCGTTTGAGGATGGTAAGCTGTAGCAACCTTGTGACGAATACCATACTTAGAAAGAAGATTTTTAACAAGATTGTTAATGAAATGCTTACCCCCATCACTTATGATTGCCCTTGGAGTGCCAAAGCGAGTGAAGATGTGCTTCTTGATGAACTTTATCACCACCCTTGAATCATTCGAAGGAAGAGCGACAGCATCAACCCATTTACTCACATAATCCACAACCACAAGAATGTATTGGTTTCCACTAGATGGCGGGAAGGGACCCATGAAGTCAATACCCCACACATCAAAGATTTCCACCTCCAAAATGTTACTTAGTGGCATCTCATGTCTTCTTAAAATAGTACCCAACCTTTGGAATTTATCACAACCCTTCACAAAAGCAATAAAATATTTAAATAACGAGGGCCAAAAGAAACCAGATTGTAGTACCTTATGAGCAGTGCGCTCCCCACCGTGGTGACCCCCATATGGGCTAGCATGACAACTTCCGAGCACTTTTTGAACCTCATATTCCGGAATGCATCTTCTCATTAGCCGGTCCACACCTTGTTTGAACAAGAATGGTTCATTCCAGACATAGAACTTAGCATTATGATTGAGCTTTTTCTTTTTTTGGGTGGTTGCACCTAGAGGATATTCTCCACTTACTATCAAATTCACAATGTCTGCATACCATGTCACTTGAGAGATATCTAATGCCATCAATTGTTCATCTGAAAACTCTTCCCAGATTTGATCACCTTCATTCACATGGGAAAAATCCTCCAACCTAGACAAGTGATCCGTTAGCTGATTTTCAGTACCTTTCCTATCTTTGATCTTAAGGTCAAATTCTTGGAGAAGCAGTATCCATCGAATCAGCCTTGGTTTCGCACCCTTCTTGTTGAATAGGTACCTAATAGTTGCATGGTCAATAAAAACAATCACTTTAGTACCTATCAAATATGATCTGAACTTGTCGAAGGCGAACATTAGAGCCAACATCTCTTTCTCGGTCACTGTGTAATTAGCTTGTGCAGAGTCAAGGGTCTTGCTGGCATATTAGATCGAGTGGAACACTTTATTCTTCCTTTGTCCCAGCACTGCAACTACTTCTACGTCGCTTGCATCACACATGAGTTCAAATGGTAATTCCCAATTAGGAGCAATTAAGATGGGAGCTTCGATTAAGTTCCTCTTCAACATCTCAAAAGCTTTCAAGCACATCTCATCAAAGTCAAATTTCACCTCCTTCTCCAAGAGACTGCACATAGGTCTTGCAATCTTGGAAAAAATCTTTGATGAATCGCCTGTAAAATCCTGCATGACCAAGAAAACTATGCACCTCTTTTACAGAAATGGAAGGGGGCAATTTTTCAATAACTTCTACCTTGGCCTTATCAACCTCTAAACCAGACTTAGACACCTTGTGTCCTAGCACTATCCCCTCTCTAACAAAAAAATGACACATTTTCCAGTTTAGAACTAAGTTAGTGTCCTCATATCTAGCAAGTACTTTATCAAGATTCCGGAGACATACCTAAAAAGACTTCCCAAAGACGGAGAAATCATCCATGAACACCTCTACAAAGTCTTCCACCATATCATGAAAAATGGCCATCATACACCTTTGAAAAGTCGTTGGTGCATTGCAAAGTCCAAATGGCATGTGCTTGAAAGCATAGGTACCATAAGGACAAGTGAGCGTGGTCTTTTCCTGATCCTCTGGGGAAATTAAGATCTGGTTATAACCGGAATACCCATCTAAGAAGCAATAGTACTCTTGCCCTGCTAGTCAGTCAAGCATCTGATCAAAGAAGGGAACGGGGTAGTGATCTTTCCGGGTAGCATAATTTAGTTTCCGGTAATCCATACAAATTCTCCACCCGATCACCGTTCTAGTAGGAATCAACTTATTCTTTTCGTTCCTTACCACAGTCATACCTCCATTCTTAGGGAATACATTGCACCGGACTTACCCATTTACTATCAGAGATCGGGTAAACAATTCCAGCATCTAGCCACTTTATTACTTCCTTTCTCACCACTTCTTTCATCAAAGGATTTAGTCGACGTTGATGTTGTGCACTTGATTTGTGATCCTCTTCCATGTAGATTCTGTGAATACATAACGCCAGACTAATCCCATGAATATCAGCCATTTGCCATCCAATTGCCTTTTTTCTCCGCTTTAGGATCCTCAAAGCCGCATCAACTTGTATTTTAGACAACTCTGCAAAAAGTATAACAGGCAAAGTTTCATTAGTACCCAAAAATGCATACCTTAGGTGAGTAGGCAGAGTTTTTAACTCCAGGTTGGGAGCTTCTTCAATTGAAGGCTTTGGTGGAGGTCCTAACTCACGATCTAATGACTCGACTCTCCGGTTGTGAGTCTCCACAAGTGCCAGATTCAGACATGTTTCTATCTCTTGGGCCTCAGTTTCCCCATCCATCTCATGACCCACTAACACTCTTTCTAAGGGATCTTCAGGCACAACTACTTGTGATTCTACTATTTGATCAACCACAGTAATAGCAGACAACTCTTCATAAATAGAGGGCAATTTCAAAGCGCGGTAAACATCGAATACCTTAACCTTGTCATGAGCCCTCATAGTTAGTTGACCAGTTGCTACATCAATCAATGCCCTACCCGTGGACAAGAAAGGTCGTCCCAAAATGAATGAAACTTTAATATCAGGTTCAAAATCTAAGACCACAAAGTCTACAGGAAAAATCAATGAACCTACTTGAACTAACACATCTTCTACTACCCCCTCAGGCTTAGCAATGGATCTATCAGCGAGTTGGAGAATAACAATGGTTCTTTTTGGACTACCCAACCCAAGCTTTAGATACAAAGATAAGGGCATCAAATTTATACTTGCCCCCAAATCACACAATCCCCAGGCATGAACACTTTGCCCGATTGTAATCTGCACAGTAAAACTACCCGGATCTTTTAACTTTTTGGGCAGTCTATTTTGGATTCTTCAGCTACACTCCTCAGTAACTGCTATAGTTTCATATTTCGTGAGCCTCCTCTTGCTAGCCACAATGTCCTTCATGTATTTAGCATACTTCGGGATACCTTGCAAAATGTCAACCAAAGGTAGATTAATGTGAACCTGTTTAAGGAGAGAGATAAACTTACCGAAGTATTCATCTTCATTCTGCTTTTTCAGCCTTTGTGAAAATGGAGGTGGTAATTTCTTTTGAGGAATGGGTACCTCAACATTGGAGCTTTTACTACCTCTTCCACCTTCTTTTCTTTGTTACTTACCTCAATATCTCTCTTCTTTAGAGCTATTTCCTCTAATTGTAACCCACTTCTAGTATTTACCGCATGCAATTGCTTTGGGTTGGGCTCAGTATCACTGGGAAGCCCACCTTGGGGACGCAAGTTTAAAGAATTAGCCACTTGCGCAACTTTTTTCTCTAAACTCATTTGGGACATCTGGATGTTTCTAATATTTTCATCCTGCTTATCTATCCTAGCATTTAATTTGGTCCCTATTTCAGTCATGAAATTTTGGAGTAGCTCTTCATTGGTTATCCCCCATTTTGGTGCACTAGGATTTACGCCTTGGTTAGGATTTTGGTTTTGGTTCCCACCCCATGAGAAGTTAGGATGGTTCCTCCAACTAGGGTTTTAAGTATTGCCATAATTTTTTTGAACTCCACCCCTTTGCGCATTTCCCACATAATTTACGGAATCCGGGTTTGCCCGACATTACTCAGTTTCATGAGTTCCACTACCACATACCTCACACCAATTGGCTATCTGTTGTACAATGTTTATCGGTGCCTGATTTAGAGCCATTTGTTTAAAATGTAGGGCGATGTTATGTTGCATTGCATCTAATTTGGCATTTATGGCAGTAGCTTGGTCTACATCTAAAATCCCTACAGCCTATTGGGTTGTGGTTCTAGATATTTTCCCTTCAGAAAGTTTATCGAGTAAGTCGAAGAACTCTTCACTTGTTCTAGATAAGGCCTGTCCACCTACTGTACTATTAAGAAGTGCATGAGCATTATAATCTCAACCCTCAAAGAAAGTGTGAGCAAGTACCTAATTAGTTTGCATGTGGTGTGGGCAAGCATTCAACATTTGTTTGAAACATGCCCATGCTTGGTACATGTCCTCCCCTTGCTTTTGTATAAAGTTTATTATCTCATCCCTCAACTTAGCAGTTTTCTTGGATGGGAAGAATCGACTCAGGAACTTCTTTGCTAGACAATCCCAAGTAGTGATGGAGTTTGGTGGTTCAGAATCTAACAAACGCCTTGCGGCTCCTAATAATGAGTATGGGAACAACGTCAGCCTCACATAGTCCGATAAGACTCCAATTGGGATGTATGTATCAGTAATATCTTCGAAGTTCCTAAGATGGATTTGAGGATCCTCGTGGGGGAGACCAGTGAATTAACCATTAGAATGGAAGATATGTACCATGCTCTGCTTTAGTTCAAATCTACCCCCCCCAATGGAGGTTTCCTAATACTAGATGCCAAATTGGATGTGAGTGGGACTGCCACATCATGGACTGGTCTTGCGGGTATGATAGGGGGTAATTTGTCTTGGTTATTCCCTCTGTTATTCGGGTTTCCTTGATTGTTCACATTTTTCGGGTTATTCACGTTGCCTTGATTATTATCATACACGTTTCCCAGCGGACCTAACCCCAATTCTCCAGGTCGTCCTTGATTCGCCATTTTCCTGCGCTGGCGTAAAACTCTTTCAGGTTGGTTGTAAGGTTCGACAAGATCTCCTTTCCGAGCCAGACCTGAAAATCAAGTTCCTACAATAAACAAGCTAAAATCAAGTAATTAATATCTAAATAATCTAATTATAGACTTAAGAAAATTGAATATAAATCAATTTCTAAGTCCCTGGCAGTGGCGTCAGAAACTTGTTGCTCCCCAGTATACACGCAAGTGTACGTGGTCGCGCAAGTAATATAGATTCTTTAAGAAACGAGTTATCATTCCCAAGGGACATATGATCAATTTATATTTAAAACTTAATTCTACAAATAAAAGTAAAAGTAACCTTTTCAAGATTGATGATTGACTGTTAACTACTACTAATTATGAACTAAGTAAACGTAACTTAATGTGAACGACTTTAAGATGATGTTTCAAGCAAGTAAAGGACAATTCCAGGGCTGCAACATGCAATGAATCTCATGTATCATATTATTGGCTTAGAACTAATTTTTAGTCGTCAAGTTACTGGTTTACAGGGTTAATTGTATGAGTCGGGTTCACACCTCTAGTCGCCTACTCCAGTTAACTATCTAACTACATCGTTGAGCGGGGTTAAATAGACTAACTAGCGAGCATTTATATTTCATCATGTTTCGTAACCAAGCGAATTGTTCATCCGGGCGTCACTCCTGAACACAAATCACCTCAACTTAATGGGTCGATCAAGCTCTCTATATTCTCTGGTTTATATAACCTCTTCTCTCCCAATTCAAGTTTAGACAATATATTTATCTTATGGTGTGCAAGCATAAAATACTAAAACAAGAATAAATAAGTGACTTATAATGACAACCAAGAATTAATTCAACAAGCCTTTAATAATCAACAATCCATTCATAGCTACAGCCCCAGAACAAGGGAGTTTAGCCACTCATGCTATTAGAAAACCACAAAATACAATTGTTCATGCGATTTTCAACAAATAGAAGAGTTAAAAGATCAAAACCTATTACAAGCGTGAATACTTGCTCTTGCACACCCAATAAAAGTTGAACGCTAATTATGGAGCACTAAAGGTCTTTTATAATGCTAGGACAGTTAGAGCCAAAGTCTATTACAATTAGGAATCCTTTTTTAACACTTTTAAGCTGGAAAAGTTGGGATCGCACTGGTGTGTTACGCCTAGCATCGCGCCAAAACTTCACCTCTGTGGTTTCCCTCCTGGCGCGTCGCGCCTCTTAGAGCGCTTGAGAAAGTCCCCAGAATGTTGGGGCTTGGCACGTTGCACCTCTCAGAGCACCTGAGAGGCCTCTTAGAATGTTTAACCTTGGCGCCTCGCACCTAGCAGTGCGCCTGGCCTCGGGGCCTTCAGCCTTAGCTTCTTTTCAGCATATCCTTGCATCTTTTCTTTCAATTTGACTCCAGTCTCCTTGAGAGTTCCTGAAACCTCTAATCACATATTTTAGTGCATAATATCACAAGTATAATGAAATCAAGCTAATAGACTCAAGATCATTCGTTACTTCAATCAATTCATAGGAAAATATTGACAACTTAGGCATATAAATACGCCTAAGATCACCCGACATCCATCTCAGTTGTTTAGAGGCCTCATAGACAGTCAGATGTTAGTTCTTTAGTCTTTTCATTGTTATTATCTTATGTTGAGACTTGAGTTTACCTTAATGGCCAGTTGAATGTTCCTTTATAACTTTCCAATTTATTTCATAGATGTATCTTTGTTAAGTTAAGTCTTCCGCTGAGTAAGTAAGTCAGGTCAAAGGTTTGCTTGGGGCTAGCAATGGTTCTCGAGTGCCGGCCATGTCCAGGGTGTAGGCTCGAGGATTGACACTTAATACCCATGGCGTATTAAGACCATTAGTTTACCTTACCAAATGTCCAAATGGGTTCATGACCCTAGTGACACCTTATCATTATAAATGTGCATATTTGAAGGATAATTGTGCCTAAATACCGACTATTTGCTCTTAAATAATTAAATCGTAGTAGGAAGGTACAAGCTAACCATTTGTTTTGTAATGCAAATGGTTGTCAAGATCCAAACTTTGGTGGATGAAATATTATCCTAGTGATACCAACAAAGGCAATAATAGTTCGGGCACAACAACATTTTAAACTTAGTTTATTAGGTTTATTTTTATTGTACAAAAAATAATGAAGTTATAAAAACTATACATGTACTTTTTAGAGTATATATTTGTTTAATTATTTAAGAGCTATAGAATGACGTATATTGGCACAGTTTTTGTCCTTCAAATTTTCGTTAGGCCTACCTCAGGCATAAAAGAGGTTCCTTTCATATTAAGACGCCTTATGGATTTGTTGTTTGTTACTATTACTTGTTTAATATGTTCATTATGCACTACTTGCTTGATATGTGATTTATTTGCACATATTAAAATTACTTGATATTTTGTCACCTCATCTAACATCATTTTTTTTTATTTTTCTTCTTATTTTTATTTTCTAATCCTATTCCCTAAAAAGGCTTATTGACACTAACAATCGAGATGTCTGACGACGCAAATGCTTTACCTCAATGGGCAGTTCGAATGCCAAGAACTAACGTGATTGATCCACATATGAGACATTTTGGGCATTGAAAGTGTCACCCCTACTGAAGATAATCCTGAAATTTCGGGAAGTAAGTCTTGCATGTAATAATTTTAATCATAATAGTAATAATTTTAACCATGACAATAAAAATAATTTTCTCCTTGAAGGAGATGGTCACCATAAGAATGATGTTGCGATATTTGCGGTACACAAAATTAATTAAAAGTTTAAGAAGGACTAATTTATTAGTATCCGGAGGAATGAAATTGTTCATAATATTGGGGTTTTAGTAAGTCTCAAAAGAAACTTTTTAAGTTTCCGAGGAATTGAAAAGAAGAAAATTATTATACTGAGACTATAAATTATGAGATGATTTAATATCTTCAGATTACTACAATCGAAGTGGGTTATAAATATTTACGTATAAAATTACCCATTTTTTCTCTTGTCTGTTGTAAACAAATATGGCATGATGGTGGATTCACATGCAAAAGCAAACTAGAAGTTTACTAGAATAAAAATCAGTTGACATAATCGGTTGGTTATTCCTGTACAAATGTACTTATACAAGAGAAATTGAGAATTC